TAGTAGTAGTAGTAGTAGTTTACACTTTTGAGTGTTTACTCTGTGTTCCAGACATTCTGTTAAATGCTTTCCAAGCATTGGCTCATGTAGTCCTTGCATAATTCTCTGAAGTTGGTTATTATCATCCTTTTATGGATGAGGAAACTGAGGCCCAGAGATCTTAATGTTTCCAAGGTCAGAACACAGTAGGTGGTGGAATCAGGATTCAGACCAAAGCAGACAGGTGCAGACTCTGACCTCTTCACCTCCACGCTACATTGCCACCCAGGAGACCTGAGCCCACCTTGGTTACTCTCTCTGATTTCCTCTCTCAATAAATGGTATTGGAATACAATCCTTATGTGTCCATAACATTCCACTAAATAGTAAGTTCCTTGAGCACAAAGACCATTTGTTGATTGCAGTATTCCCCCATTATTAGGGCCAATACATGGCAGCCACTCAGTGTATATTTGTTGAATGGATAGCCTGTATTTTACTTAACATACCCACCCCCCACCCCCGTCTCTCCTCCACCCACCTCCCCACCGCCCAGTCTGAGTGACTAGATATTTTTGCAAATGTTGATCGCAGCACTTTGAGGAGAGCAGGAGGAAGGTGGTGTTACATTGTTCCCATCTCTCAGGTGAGGAAATGAAAGCCAATGAACAACTTCCCCCAGTGATGATGATATTGATCATCTCTTATGTTTAGTCACTGTTTCACAATTCACAAAATGTTGTCAAATATGCCATCACATATGGCTCTCTCACTGACCTGGGGAAGCAGATGGGAGAGGTACTGGTCCCAGCTCAGAGAAGAACGGAGGCTCAAAGGATGCTGATGTCCTTTCAATGACAAACCAAGCAGGGAAGCAGAAACCCAAAGGCAACACTTCTGAGTCTAAAACCCAGGTCCTTGTTAATTTAAATTAGAGTTACTTTGTATTGCACTTGTCTGTTAAGATTCTGAGCTGTGGGTGTTGGGAGAAGGCAGTCATTCTTAAATAAGCAAAGGAGGGCTAAGTTTTTACTGCCCACAGCAACAAAAGGAAAGCTCTGAGGACAATGATATGATCAGTGGGTCTGTGTTCAGATATTACATTCTAATAGCCACATTCCTGTGTCTCAATCACTGAGCCATGTCATTTTTTGAGACCAATCAGAAGAACAGCAACCCAGCACTTTAGAAAAAAGTGGCAAACTGGAAGGAATAGGGACTGTT